AGAGGTGATCGATTGTAACAGTTGACAGTAACCGTTTCCGTTGTCGTGATTACGAATAGGTAAATAACCAGTGATCAGGAAGAACTTGCACTGCATCACTCACACACACGCGCGTGCTTAATATCTATTTTGAAACCGCACTACATTGTGCACATGCAGTATATTAGTACACCACTGCTGCAAGATCGGTGACGTCCAGAACGTCTTAGATTAGCGGAGCAAACGAAGCGCTTAAGTGTCTAGCATATCGACGACGTGCCACCTAGAGTAAGCAAGACCTAGCGCCAAAGTTGTGGTGTAATCTAAAAAGCAAGCAATAACGGAGGCGGTGAAATAACAGCTCAATGGCCAAGTGAAAGGTGTGACGCTGCCAGGCGGTCGATATTGCGCTAAAGACGTCGGCATGCCAGTCGCTTTTGACAACCAATCACTAGGTATTACACGCAGCACTAAGTGAAGGGCGGCCCAACAACAATCCAGCAGCTCTGCATGAGAATATTCCATAAAAGTGTGATATCCCAACAACTACTTAGCATGACTGTTAGGGGACGCAGAGACTAACGAGATCGGTCGGATGCAGTTTCCAGCTATTTGGCTCGAAGATGATTCGCTTGTCTCATGGTCGTGACCTTGGTTTAACCAATGAGTTTTCCACATTTACAGTTTCAAGGTCAGTGTGTAGGAATGCCTTTATAAACCAATGAAATCATACCCCATGTACCTCGTTTTGTCTTTTCGCAAGTGTTCTTTGTTGATCTCTTTCGACTTCTGTTGTGAGGCGAGCATTTGGGCTTTGAGGTCAGCACATTCGCGATACATAGAAGACCACAACAATTACCGTCGACTAACTACCGGGCAGACATCACTGATACTAAAGCTGATGGATTTGGTTTAGGAAGTACATTGCCTTAGCCTCTCATAGTGGATCTGGCAGGAAACGCTAAATGAGCACCACCTAATTCATTACTATTAACGGAGGTAAAGTAGAGATAAATACGTACAATTGCACATCTGTGGAGTGTGGGGTAAAAGCTACATCGTTGGGACGATACTACGTGGCTTTCGCTGCATAGCGTCGAAGTTTAATACTGAGAATAGAGATCGAGAAGAGAAAAATCTGTTGCTACATCGTAGGTAGATCGGGTACATGTGCGGAACCAAGTCGCTTATTCCTGCGCGGTGGCAGCATATCGCAGCTGCATTACACCTTGACACACAGATAATCCCACAAGACTAACTAAAATGTCTGCGACTGCCGAACAGCAACGAGGTGCCGTCGCATTACTCACAAGATTTCGAAGGAGAAGAAACGAAAATTGACCAAGAGACCTCATTTGGCAACATCATGACGGAATCCACGAGAAAAGTGGATAAAAACAAAGGAAACATGTTACGCCGATGATCAGAACGGAGCCCAGAAACACATTGCATGGCGTGGGGCAACCTAAGGCTTCCACCTAGACTATGCGTAGATATTTGCAAAAACCTAGGAAAAGTGCTCTTATATGGTGTTGTACCGGAAAGCACGAACGGACAGTCGGCATTCCAGAACCTTCAAGAGGGTAAAACTGTGATATGAAGCCTCATACTTGCTGAAAACATGACTGTTTCTCATACTAAGCGTAGCTTACTCCACGATGAAGCAGTGGGTTGGAGTTGAGGTCAGTCGGTGTTAAGCTGATACAACAATGTCTAGCACAAAACCGTCGAATCATCCTTCCCAAACATCGTCAGTAGGATCGACTCCTCCCAATCGATCGCAAGCAGCCCCTCTGCCGATAACACAATAGAATTTACACTGAGAATCTCTATACCATCGTTAAATAGTGTGGGTACGAAAGAATCCGAGCCGGAAAGGCGGAAACAAGGCTATCTTAAGCAAACTGACCAATGTTTGACATGCACCAGAGGAGCGCAAGAGGGCTGGCAGGTGTAAGACTAACTGTTTGAGAAGGCGTCCTGTGAATCAGGGCATCATTGGCGACCTCAGAAGCATTGAATGGGAGCCACATTGGACGAGTAGGTCGGACTGTGGAACTTGTAGAAATCACACACACTTCCCTCCCTTTCCAGTTCATGAACTACAAGAACTCATCCAGCTTCTGCTAACTACCAGACTCCACTCTAATTCACGCCTGACACGTTGCCTGGTTGCACTGTGCTCAGTTCGGGTGGGGATTTCAAAGCTAAATTACAACAAGTTACCCGTCCTTGTGGCTAGTTTAGTGACCATTATTAACCATAAAAGCAGTTACCACATGTACAACAGCGGACATGCTGCCATCGATCCCCGCACGAGGATAAAGATATGAAATGTAAACATTCTGGCAGATTTTCCTAGTTGTGAAATGTTAGTTTTCTGATTGCTAAACGAAGTAATTCGACGTTGGTGCTTTCGGTGAAAATCAAGGAAAAGCGGCAGCTAACAAACGTTACGTCAAAAACGATGTACAAACTCCGAGGTCAGCGAAGTCCAGCTAGTTAGATTTATTCCTGTGTAGAACTCGGAGGATGTAAGGGGCATCGGTCACGGCCGTGAATAAATCCAGTGCCGTCTGAAGGTATTACAGTCTAAGTGGCAATAAACGCTCCACATTGTTTTTGTGCCGAAATGAAGTCTGAACATGCAATCAAGCAGTCATTCTCGCATGCATAGGAGCGTGACGCTACCAGAATTGGTTGTGAAATGACGCACTAGATTGATGGTAGAAGGTATCTTTATGCACTATCAAGGAGACAGAATGAAGGAACATATGAGGCAAAAACAAGCCAGCCGGATCCAACGCTGCACCGCATTCAATTGTCCTGATTGACATTGCCAAATGGGATGTACATAGACGACTGTCTAGGCGAATCCAAGCAACCACGATGGCAAAGATTATGTACCCGAAGCTTAATCCGTAAACACTGTACTTTCGTCGCCGGGTGTGTGCGATCAACAGCGAGAGCATGGGCAGAATAAAGCCGGTTTACCAACAGCGTGAGAGCTATCAAATGAAGCCAAAAAGCAACGCAAGGTTACCCACAGTGACCAACATGCGCCCAAACGTAGCCCGCTGACTTACCTGCCTTATGGCAGGAAGGTTGAACGCCGCTAAAGAAATCAAGCAGCGTGGAGTGACAAGGCGTTTTGATGGCAAGAGATATCAGATGTGCGGCAACATGGGTACACATGGTAATACAGCTGCCGCTGATGTTTACCAAAAGAAGCATAGGTAATGATCATTGCAGGGGGCACAAGAAGAACAGATGGGAAAATAAGGGGGCAGGAAAAAGTGGTCTCATGTTTTCGCTTATTCGCTCTGCTGTTTTCGGCACATAAAGAGACCATGTTGAAGAAAAACAATGCTGGTGGAGGAAGCGACTGAAGTTTACAGCAACAGCCAGGGTTGCATGTGGGCGTGAACATTGTCGAACGACCAAAACCTGAAAAGAAGAGAGATCAAAGTACTCAGCCAAAGCCGTTAGCCCGAATGCCAAACCACAATGCAGGTGAATTTGATCAAAGGTGTACCAACTTCAGAAAATGGAAGATGCACCGATTCCAACCCGCAATGTGGAGGGTCATGACAGTCTGCACGTGTGGCCTCTTTAGCAGGAGAAACCTTCGAGATGCTCAAAAGCATTACTCATTATAGCGCAAACGAGGGGAGAGGCGGGATACGGTCGCATCATGCTAAGGTTCAGCGCCGTTGAGACTCATCCGTGAAAGATGCATAGTCTTTGACGCTCAATATGAAAACGCCAGCGACCCTTTCTGTGGTGTAGTTGACCCAGTTCATTAGGATGGAGTGTATGTGTCAATAGGCACTTAGTCAAGTGAATTTGATGGCGCAGATTGCGTGGGAAAGGTGCACGTGGGCAGCGGCGATAGAAAAACCCTAGTCCATAACACACGGTGGTAGAAAATGATGAGATGGATAGTTTTTGTAGGATAAACGGGGCTGACAAGTTTGAAGGTTGCAGATTGGGATGAGTCGAACAACCCAGGTGCAGTTTGATGGACTTGGTGTTTTTAGTGTAGAGAATATCGTAGCGGTCAACCAGATGGGAAAAGCAACTAATAAATTTTGCCGAGTATCCGTCATCTGTCAACGCGTTAGTGGTGACGGACACCAACTATTGCGCAGCAATAAAATCAGACAATCTGTTTGGAGCTAGGAGATAGCGCTGAGTGCTTCAAGTTACTAAGATTCGAATTCCATATAGTATGTTTTCAGCTGTCGCATCGAAAGTGAGCAGGCAAGTATTTATGAGCATCTCACGTAGTGCAAAGTCAACCAAAAACAACGCACCCAGGTAACCTCACAGGGGAAAAACTGGCACAAAGCTTACATCGCCAGTATTCGGCCAAAAAAGTGTCACGAATTCGCCTGGAACTACACGGCTGTAGATTGAGTTAGATTAGGCTGGAGTAAGGCATTACGCACAACGAAGATCATGGCTTCGATCAGACCCTCGAATCGGAAAACATGCTGCTTTGAAATAGCAGCCTACCCATGTAGCGGACACAACGGTCAGTGCAATGAAGAAGCCAATTAGAAATGCCCGATCAGTATAAACACGGTGTATCGCGTTCAGTATTGATGTAGCAGTGATTCGGGCTAAACACGTTGAGAGCGTGCGTGTCAAAACTAAAAAAAATCTACCACAAGCACAGAAGGGAACGAATGGAGAACATATCAGTATAGGTGAGGTCCAATACCAGTTGGCGGATGAATCAGTCGACTGAAGTGGTCGGAAAGCCGTTGCGGAGAAAAAAAATTACGACTGCAATTCGGACGATCAAACGCGACTAAGTTTCGTTTGGGAGAGGTGATAAAGAGCCAATTTCAACGGCCAATTGGGCTACCTACGAGACCGAGTCACCGCGTACCAATTATAAAGCTGATAAATTATGGAACAAGCTATGCACTGGAGTTCGGATCGCACGAGGAATGATCGTTAAGCATGAACCGCGAACCCTGGGTGTAACAAACACGTACACGTATTCTACTCACCTCGGAGCACGCGTTCTTCGGCACAACGGTGAAAGTCCCATATACGAACCGTGGAGTCATCACTGCACGTAACGAATTTATTGTCGAAAGGGCAGAAACTACAAACAACAAAAGATTGGCAACAGCCAAGTACAATTTACTGGCAAAATCACAGATAAATGCATAAGCTGATAGTGGTAAAATCAGCGGTTATTTTATTGCATAAACAGTGGATACACGCCACGGGGCTTGAAAATAACAGCAAATGATTGTTTGATGGAACGAATCCTGCATAGTCCGCACGGACGTAGCGAGGGTTGAGTGTGTTGTCCAACCGTTCATGCAATGCAGTGGCAGCTCGGTTTTGCAGTGCTACCGCTTGGTGAACAGAAGGAGATGACTTCAAATCGGACTTAGGCAAAGCTGGCGCCAGCTGCACAATTATGGACATCCAGCAGGCAACGTAAATATCAACATTTCTGTAGAGACCAGAAAAACAAACAGCAGGATTCGGTAAACCAACGTAAGGTCTTCATAATATAAACGAAGCACCACCAAGCCGAGAGAGCATCGCGATAGGCCCTCTGGAGATGTTCAAGCTGTTCGGGCAAAACGGCCAAGCCAGCCACACACGTTTCGATTAGAATTGGAAATGCAGACACCGAAGGTAAATGCGCGAATAAACCGCCTCACCTACAGAATGCGCGTTCTCCAGCCGACCAAGGATAAAACATGTCATGTGGAGTTTTCGAATGACCAAGAAGCTTCAGATCATAATATCATTGAACAATGAAACGGGTCGAAGTAAAGCTCGAGGAATTGTGCAATCCGATTGTGTTGTGAACAACTCAAACTAGTCTGTTAGTGTAGCGATGTGAAGCAAAGAGAAATAGGTGTCAGCTATCTCGCTTCGGCAGGCATCTAGTGAACTCAACAAGGTACTGAAACCATTAATGTTGAAAATAGATGTGATTGATCAGATTCCCCGTTTTCCTGTAAGGAATGAGTCTAGGTGGTTTGATCCGAATTGAATGAACTAAGCCTAGTGGATAAGTTGAGATGGGGAAACTCGCTGCCTTCCAAGAGATCGCGCAGGCGCTACTTTGAACCAATTTTTTAAATCGGGCCGCTGAGAAACTGAGGAAAAACGAACAGGGAACACAAACATATCGTCACAAGCCCCCTTTGAGTAGGAGTAAATCAACAGCACAAAGGAATTCCCTGTAGCTGCACAAGCAGTATAACGATTTAACCAAGAACGACTAAGACGAGTCTACCGGCGTCTTTAGCACAAAATTAGGCGCTATTACAACGACCGATCGTCTAGGTATAATTTCCTGCATTCCATTGCCAAGCATCGGGTAGTCACAGGTATGACCAGCACATAAAATGTGCGAAATTCACAGCTGACCACGGTGGAATAGATTCGAAGAAACTGATGAAGAGACAAGTTTCTTTATATACCCAAATGCGCATGAATGTGGCATCCATGGTGATGGAACCCGATCGATCTCATGAAATGACAAGTGTTGGTACTACAGAATCTGAGATTCTACTAGTCGTTGAATGCAAATATATGTACTCAGTTATCTATTTCACGGACGGTTCTCCCTTGGAAAATGTCAAAATATCCAGAAATAACAATCTAACAGGATATATTGAATTCAAGTACCTCGAGTATCCTCGTCAGCTGTTTACTCACAAGTATGAAAACAGACAAATGTACCATCAGAACTATGGCGATAAAAGAGGAAAATTTTGTTCAGCGAAGAGCCGAAAACTGCATCAAAAAGGGGATAGGTTAACTTTTATTTCTTAAAAGATTGGAAATGGATGACTTCGGAATCGCCACGGCATGTGGAGCACAGATCTCACAGCTTGTGCGAAGTGTGGTTCAAGCGCCAAATTCCGGTAACACAAGGAGAAAGTGGTAAAAAACACAGCAAAATTGTGACCGAGGGAATTCGCAAGTGTCTCAGAACTTACGCTACACCGACACCAGATGCAAGATTGTGTAGCACGATCTCACAAGAAACGCCTCAAGCACTGCATTTTAAATCCCAAGACTCAAATCAACCAACCTCAAAGTTGGGAACTCTTTTACATAAGAGTATGTTTTAATAAGATTCCTGGCAACTTGATAAAGTCAGACACGCAAGCATTTAGAAAGGCAACGGAAACTGTTTCGAGCTCCCCGGGAATCGTCGGTAGTGAGGCCTGATATGATCAGGCATCAGCCATGGCTGAGTAACAAGTAAAGATAGTACGCAATCCTTCCCTGCTATGAGTATTACTGCAGCGTAGAAAAGGAAAAAACAGTTGCAGTTTAGAAAAAGCACGCAAATAGCACGCATGGTAGTGGAGATGCAGTGGCGCTGTGCAGCAGCTAGCTGCTCAGTCATACTGGTTGCCGGCATGCCACGTGACCCAGAGTCGCAAGTTCGCCTGTAAGGAAGTCTGTGAAACCGTTCATCAACAGCAGTACATCAGCCATTTGAACTGACGGTTCGCTGCCATACAACCATATGGACCTACAGAATGAAGAATAATAAAAGGGAGAGAAGGAGGATTTACCGGAAAACCTTAACGCCCTAAGCAAACATTCAGGGTCCAAGCGTCTACGCCGTGTCAACAACATACCGTCACCAACAGCTGGCTATCGTACAAGAATAAGGCGGCATCAGCCCGACAGCTTCCTTGCGGCTTTTACTGCCCGCATCATAATCAGCCATTACCTGTCCGGGAGAAAGTAAGAATTACCTAGGAAATCCACTATTTTAGCAATTAATCGATTATTAATGATTATCGCATCGATTTCGAACGTTCCTGAATGTCCTAGTTTCTGCATGTGACTAAAAACCACCTGACACCTCGGCAAAAGATATGGGGAACCACTAACCTTGGTAGCTGACCTTCCAATTCTAGAAGTCGAAGGTCAGTGAGACTTATAAATACAGCCAAGGCCCGCAGTAGTTGTACAATGTTTGTTGGCGGCGATTAATAAGTTATTTTGTCAAGGTCATTGGCGTTCTGCTTTTTCCTTCGGTTGGGCTGGAAGTTTTGTGGAGTAGTAAAGTGTCAATTTCGGAATCGCGTCTAGTGAGAATGGCGACGGGGAAAATTGGATATGTGAAATGTTTCTGCTGAACAATTTCAAAAGCTGCTTTTCCAACAGCAAGCTCAAATGGAGGCACAAATGAAAATTATCGAAAATCTGACACAATGCTTGAGTTTTCAGACAACAGGAGCAACGACGCGGGACATGCAGGCGAGTTCAGTTGATCTTCTCACGAATGCAATCATTGAATTCAATTATAACGCGGATTCTGGATGCACATTCGAAGCGTGGTTCAAGCGCTCGGAAGACATGTTCCAAACGGACGTCATTCGTCAGGACGACTCCTGGAAGGTGCGATTGATACTCCGTAAGCTCGGAATAAGATTCATAGACCACATTCTGTCCAAACAGCCGAAGGATTTGACGTTTGACGAAGTAGTGTCGCAGCTGAAGGAAATTTTTGATGAGTTGGTATCCTTATTTAGTATACGCTATCAATGCCTGAAAATTGTCAAACAGGAATCAACCGACTTTGGGGCCCTAGCAGACATGATTAACCGTGAGTGCGAGTGCTTCGAACTACGCTCTTTAACGGACGAACAGTTTAAGTGTCTCATTTCGTCAGCGCTCTACAATTCCCAAGTGATGCTGAGATCCACAGGGTTTTTTTAGCTAAGCTGGATCAGGATCCTGATCTGACACTGAAGACCTTCGTAAGCGAATGCAAACGGCTGCTCACTCTAAAACACGACACTGCTATGGTCGAACGGAGTGATCTCGCACCACCAGGTACCGTGCAATTCGTGAAAAAGTTCAGGACCGTCAACCGAAGCAAAGCCTCCAAGAGGTCAAGGAACAAACCGCCTACAGCATGTTGGTGATGAGGCGAATGGCATTTCGCGCGCTTTTGTCCGTTCAAAGGTCATATTTCTCAAACGTGCCATAAGCGTGGGCATAAGGAGGAATTCTGCAGTCAGCTCCGGTAGAAGAAAGTGAAGAAGTCTTATCGAAAGGGGAATTCTAGGAAGGATGGCGCAGAGTCTCTGTCCATAGTTGCCGCATTCCAAAGTGAGTGTAAACCGAGACGACGATCCATCACTGTGTTGATCGGCGGGATCCCAACGAAACTGTAATTTGACACGGCCTCGGACATCACGATTATTTCCAGGAGCACATGGAATCACATAAAGAGGCTGCAGATGGTTGAGCCTAAGAAAGTTGCACATAATGCATCCGGCAGTGTGTTAAACTTAGTGGGCGAACTTGCTTGCAAAATTGCCTTCAAAGGTGCGGAAAAGTCCGGAATGTGTTACATTTCAGACCGGTCTGGAGTGGATTGAAAAGTTGCAACTCCTCGATGTCCCCTTGAATCCGATCTGCAACTGAGTTCGAGCAAGTCCGAACCCATCATCAAAGTCCGTTGAAGACATGACATGTACCCTGAAACGAAAATTTGCTTCTGTTTTTCAGGATGGCTTGGGCTATTGCACGAAATTCAAGGTAACGCTGAGCTTGCAACCAGGTGCTAAACCAGTACTGAAGGCCAAAAGACCGGTGCCATATGCAGCCATGTCAACTGTTGATCAAGAACTCGATCGACTGGAACGTGCCGGAGTCATCACAGCCGTCAACTACTCATCATGGGCCGCACCTATGGTCGCAGTGAAGAAAGCAAATGGCAAGGTACGCGTCTGCGCTGACTTCTCAACTGGCCTCAACGCCGTGCTAGACGAACACCAGTACCCATTACCTGTACCGGAAGATATCTTTGCAAAACTGAATGGTGGTAAGTACTTTGCTAAACTCGATATATCAGATGTCTACCATCAAGTGGATATTGACGAAGTCTCGAGGGAGTTGTTGACGATCAACACTCATCGTGGTCTACTCCAATACAACCCCTTGCCCTTTGGTGTAAAAACCGCGCCAGCCATTTTCCAACAGTTGATGGATACCATGCTAGCGGACGTTTCTGGAACCGCTTCATATCTGGATATCATAGTGATGGGTCGAACACCAGAAGAACTATTTAACCGCCTGCATGAAGTGCTTGGTTGTATA